AACCACTTTTGAACTTCTAAACTTTGTCATTAGACCACTAAAAAAAAAAAAAAACTCCATTTATCGTTCAACTGAAATTAAAGTTCACAACTGTGGAAAGATTGGAAAAACACTATTTAGCATTCAGCAATTTGATACACAAGATTTTATCTATTTCCATCTTGCTTCAAATTTACCACCTGACAGGTACCACTGCCATGAAAATACGGCAAATAATTTCATCAACACTAAACATTCAAAATCAGGTGAGTATAAAGATGTTGAAGTTCATGAAACTCATCTATCATAATTCCAAACCATAACATCTAGTTTCTAGAGGATCTCTAATACAAATAAAATAAAATCAACATGCAGATTCTTTTAATTCCCATATCAGTCACTTAGAAGAGAGAATATAAATATATCTCATTCTTAACAAAAGATTTGTGTGCAATTAGAAGCAATAAAGAAAATTCTATTTGATTGTACAGGGATGCTTACTAGAATGAAGCTGATAAGTCATTATCCCATTCCTAATAATAACAATAATAAACAAAGAAAGATTCATACAGAATTATTCATAGGTCCAGAGTGATAAAGAACAGTTTTCTATAACCAGTATTCCTTCACTGCCACCTGAGAAGCATGGATCCTAACACACATACGCAAGCATACAACACAGAAAAAATCTATACATCAGCTTATAGGTCATAACGTACTATAGCATGATATGTTGAACATACAGGATAAGACTACATTATAATGACATTGTAGAGACCCAAAAATGTAAATACTTACAAATTATATCATTTAGAACAAAATAAATGTTCTTCAAAACAAGAGGATCTTCCTGAAGTAGCCACTTATTTTTCAAAGAAGAACAGCAACAAACATCAATCGAATACCAAATTAGAAAGATTTATTAAAGCATATGACCTTCTATAATAGAAGCAGAAAACATAGTGGCATCTTAGACGGCCATAAAAATATGAACCTCCAAATGTATCTAAGGGACAAATTTGGTTCACTTGAAAGCTAATATTTCATTTCTTAACATATTCCTCACTTATATTTGTAGTCCCATTACATCTATATACCGAAATTCTATTAAACAAAATGGTTATATTATTAAAATCAACCACACATTCCACAACAAAGGCTATAACATGGAATAAGTTCCTTTGCATTGGTTCACTTAAAAATCGGAAGTAATCTTCATTCTGTGATGAAGGATTGGATCTACTCATAAAAACTCTTTTCATGCTATCAGGAAAAAAGTAATAATCGTAATATATTTACGAAGAGGACTTTAGGGTTCAGGGATATTCTTTTGCATAGTTGTAAGAATCTATAGTTCATAGATACAAGCATACAACAATAAATGAGTAGAACCATAGCCCAAGATACTAGGTATCATGTCATGCAGACAAACTCCTAGCAATCAACAAATACAATCAAGCCAATATATTAAGTATATAACCCAGATGCATATTTAATTAGCCCCCTTTATCACACACATAAATTTGGAATAGAATTAAATCAATACAGAATTCAAATTCTTGAGCTACTTCTCTCCCCCCAAAGAATAATGAAATTGAAAGTTGAATAGAAAAGAAAGATGAAAAAAAAAAGAAATTTTTTTCCGCCTCTCAAAGGCACCAAAATACTGTATTACACTAATGCACTAAGCAATGACAGTCAATCATACAACACTTAAGTAGTTTCCAGTACATGGCTTCTTTGGAAAGTAAAACACCTCAAATGACATGATTGCAGGACACTTATTCTATTAATCATAACCATTACCAAAGAATTGCCAGACATGGGCCGCAATCACAAAGCCTTACTTCGAGTAAGGCATATTACACAATATAAAGAAAAAAAAAAATCCTTTCACCAGTTTTATCTAATAGACTAATCATTGTACACAGGTTTCATCACCAAACAAGGATGACATCAGAAATCCTAAGCACAAGCAACAAATCATGATTCTAATTAACTGACATACGTTAAAACATAACCCAAAAAGGAAACCGGCATATACCATGATTCTCTTGATGTCCATATACTATCACAATAGGCCAAAATCATACAATTCCGTGGAGCAAAAACGTTAAATTAACTTAACCACAAAAGTAAACCAAAACTTCCTAGATTCATAGACAAATACTCCTCTCAACTCCAAAACCCACACTAAATAGAATTGTCTAATATTACTTCAGAATAGTTCAATAAATGAATAGGTAACCAAGGAAAAAGTTCCTTCATGTCTCTCTCCAAGGCCAAAACTCAGATCATTCTATCCTAACGCAGCCTACCCAAATCCCCACCAGAAGCTAGGATACTGAAAAACCAAAATGAACTGAGTGTGTC